AAGGTGTTCTTACATATGTGGTAGTTTTTTCATTTGGGGTTATCTGTGGTTTCAGAAAGGTTAAGTGCCGCACCTTTATGCAAAATAAATCACATGTTTAATGTTGCTTTTGGAAAAAGACTGATAAGGAAAAGTTACTTGATCATTTTAATTCCTTATGGTAATACCTGTGCTGTGTACTCTAAGCCAGAATCTGAAGTGAGCAGTGGTCTAAGTTGTATTTTGCCTGGATGATGAGGGAAAACAGGTTTAGGGTATAACTAGTAAGCACTGCAGCTGCTTCTGGCTTTGTACCTGATGGAACTGGTACTGTGGTAATGTCTGCAGTTATTTTTGACCCTGCTGTGGATACTAGTTTCTCTACCACAAAAGAGCTATAAGCTGATTAAAAAAGAAAAAGAAAAAAGCCCGTGATGGTACAGAGGTGTATGGAAAAAAATAATTTGTCCTGGAATCTGGTATGTTTGTTTTGTTTGTTTGGAAGACAGAAATGCCTACTGATTTCTGTAGGGGCCACAACAAGCAATGGGCATGCTTCTATAAGTTATAACTATGGCATTGTCAACTGAAATCGAGGTGTGTGGAAGAAGTATAGCAGGATTGCAGAGGATGCTGCAATATTCCCACTACCTATCCATGACTGGGTGGTGGGCACGCAGCTTCATCTTCTGCTGATTCAGCTAACTCACTAACTAACACAATCATATATGAAATTTTTCCTTAGTTTAATATTTTTGTGTTCCTCTTTTGTATAGTTTATTTTGGATTCCAACTCAGACTCTGTGTGAAATTGTATAAAAGAGAGAGGGAGAGAGACAGCACGTTAACAGCAAGGCCAGTAGCACTGTCTGTTAAAGTTGACTGATGCTTCCTTCCGATGTTTTCCATGCCAGGCCTTCAGTTCAGTCTATGTATGAAACTTTAGCAGGGAAGCTCCAATTAGAACCATTGGGACACTTCCAGAAATTGTAATTTCACTGACGTTCAAATAGATAAGTTCTTGTAACATCATTTCTGAAAATCATTAACGCCTCTAGCATTTTAGAGGAGGCACAGATGTAGCCTTCCTATTACAGATAAGGCATCTTCTGCCACCTCTGTAGAAGTTTCCACAAACTTAAGCAACTACCGAGCCTTTTGAAAAAGAATGATTGATCTGTGTTCATTGGAGACTCTGCCTTCAGTGACATTTTAAAAGAAGATTTTTCACTCAGCTTTCTAAACCCTGGCAGGTTTTTGGGGGTTCTTCCCAAAGCTACAGTGGAGACCTTTCCCTTACAAAGTCGTCTTCTTTCCTGCTCTGGGTGCAAGTAAGGGTGTGCCTCTCTGTTTAGTAGTCCCTGTGTGTTCTTCCCTTACACTTGGCTGCATGGTAGAAAAGTTGTCTGACTAAAATGCAGAAGAAACTAAAGGTAAGGTCGAGAAGGGAGAGAACTAAGGGCTTCAGTGAGGCTGGATCTAGCAGGGGCATATCACTGAAGGCTGAAAGATTAGCATCAGCTGTCATAGGGAACTGGTATCAGGGGCTGAACTTGAGCCTGGGGCTGGGCAGGAAGTTTGCATCTAGGAGGTAAAGCTTGTGTGGGAGTACACAATAGACAAAGATTGGAAGGGGTGTGTTAGTGAAAACGGGAACAGAATTGATTCAGAGCAGGTCTATGAGGTGTAAGTGTATAATCTTCCTCTGATACTATATGTATTACCTAGAAATTAATTAACAAAATAAAGTTCATTCTGAGGATTCTGTTATGCCTCAGCACTGCAGTGCGTCAAAACAGAAGAAGTCTGTATAGCTCATTTCACTCATAAACTCCGTAATTTATATATCCATATAAATCAACAGGCATGCATATTCTTGGTTGTAGTAATTTTGTCTCAGAGTGGAGGCCAAAGTAATTGCATTTCTGACCAGATAAAACTCTAGCTTGTGCACGTGATACTCTGAAACTGTAAGTATATTTCAGAAAATTGTTGGCTTACTGCATGGCACACAATGCCATTTTACACTTCTTTGACAGTTACTGCTTTTCTACTTCTAGGTGAAGCTCAGGTAAAATACCTCCCTGCACCTTAGGGTCTTTGGTTTATTAGGGTTGGTTTTGGCTGGTTTTTTTGCTGATTGCCATTAAGGCTAAACTTTTTTAGTGAGAAATTCATTGTGACAGATGGAGTTCCCTCTGCCAGATTCATCACTGCATAAGATAGCCTTTAGCCCAAATGTGTAAAATATTGCTTGCACAATGACTGTGATACGTGTTCCTTGCTCATGTTTGTTTACAGAGTGTGCTAAATATTGCATATGAAACATTTATCTGTAGTTAAAGAAAACAAAAGTTACTAATTAAGAATGAGCTTTTAAAGATTTTCACACTTGAAGTTAAGAGTTAAAAAGGGAGGAGAGAGCTTTTTTTACAGCCTGCTGTGAAACACATATGTAACATATGACTGTGTCCCTTTTGAATTTGATAATCCCTATAATGCCTCCTTTTAGCAGAGCCTTCAGACCACATAATCATTCATTTAGAATATAAACAGGTTTTGAAAACAATTCATGCTGCTTGTTTAAACAAGTATCTCCTCAGTTAAAAGTACAAGAGTTGGGGGTTTTCTTGCTTGGGCATTCATCTGAGTTAAAACAGACACACTGCTTTGAAGGCATTCATGATAGATATGTGGTTATTTCATATTTCCACTAGGAGGTACTTTTAGTAATATTTTCACCATTTTCATCATTTTCAAACTGTAGACTCATTTCTTCAGATAGCATACAAAGAAATATCTTTTCAACTTTTAGTTGGAGTGGATCCATAATACTTGTAACAGTAAAAAATTTCATGTTTATACTTACAATTCACAGCTGATCTGCGCTGTTACATTTCACATGTGAACTAACAATTAACTTTCAGTTTCATTTTTCATCAGCAGATTTGAACTGTGTGGCAGATTTGAACATTTTTAGATAAATGCTGATAACAGAATGTAATTTAAGTTAGAACCCATATATAGAAATAGTTTAATATTCTGCACATTTCGTTTATTCGGTGTCATCTAGGTGTTCACTGAGTTGCAGCACATTTTTTCTAGAGGTTAAATGGGTTGAGTAGCAAAAATGGAAGCTTGCTGATTTTTACCAATTTATGATTTTGGAAATTGCTACTAGATACATAGTTCCATTTCATTTACCTCAAATAAAAAGCCTGGACTTATATTAAAAAAAATATTTTTGATTAGATAGTTTATGTTTTTTCTAAGAATACAGAAAGAATCTTTTGATCTAAATTAGCAAAGTAACCTAGTGGAAAAGAGGACTTGCCTGGTAAAATATCTTCCATAGAATTATCATAATTTGTTTTTTTTCATGGACCATAACTTCTTTTACGATGCTTCCGTGTGGTATTAAATCACATATTAAAATTGGTTGTTCCACATCATTACCTTAGTTTTATGAAATATTTTTAAGTCATTCTTCAAAAAATTAAAATACCACTAAGACCAGGTGCTTCCATTGCAAGAGCAGAATTTTCAGTGAATTAAATGACAACGTATTTCGATTAATCTTTGATTCTGCATTGTAAACCTCTAGCTCAAGGATTTTTTTAACTCTTTTTCTTCTTTTTGGTCTTTGCTTTTCTTCTTTTGTGAGATCCATCACTCTGTAAAGTCTGGGGAGGGGAGGAAATTGTGTGAAGGGGACCTTGATTTTGGAAAAGAATTAACATTTTCTATCTCATTAGTGTCTCCCCCTTGCCCAGTGTATGGCAGGCAGCTGTTACTGAAGATGAGTATATTATTTCTGAGTACCAATGTAAATTAGTGTTAATATAATGAACAGCCTGCAGCATGAGGCAGTTCTAATTGCTTTTGCAATAGTTTGCAATCACCAGGCTATAAAATATTTCTTGGTTTCAAAAAGGTGACTAAAAGCTGGTGTGAGTGATTATATTTGTAAATAAGCAGCAAGGTGTAAAGTTTCAGTAGCTGCTTTCAGATTTGTTTAGACAAAACCTGACAGATTTTAGTTGTGAGCACCAGTATAAAATGTTTGATGTGTCTTGTGATTCAGTCCTCCTGTTGATTCTTCATGAAAGTAGTTAGCCATGAGTGTCTATGAAGCCTGTAATGTTAAGCCTCCTTCCCACCACAAACACACTTGTTAATTTAGTTAGATAAGAGGCTGTTATTGTTGGAAGTAAAAAGATATAAGCCAAGCCTGGTCAGTATTGCATTTCTTCAGTAAGCAGGTCAGTAAGTTCAGTTCGCCTTGGTTTGAATTGATGATTGCAAGACTGTAAGAATGATGCTTGTTTGTGTTGTTATTGTTGCCACGGTAATGACACATAAGGAATCAGTTTGTTGAAATAGGTTGATAGATCTCTGGATGTAAATCAGTTAAACTACTTAATGTCAAAAGACCTGTTTTGAGGTGTTTGTGGAACTGAAGTACCTGCTCCACTGCCTTAATGAAAAAGTGTGGTGGTGTGGACACATCTTTGTGCAGGTGTCACAGGAAAACCTGTTGTCCAGATGTGCAGTGCTTGCGTTGGTATGGGCATATTTGCATAGAAGAAAGAGAAAATGGAGGTGAAAGTTACCTTCTGTTATTTTGTTTTTTTCAGGAAAAAGTAGCGTAGTTTTAGGGAGGTTATTTTTTAAAGACTATTTTAAGTATGAGAGCACTAGGAAACTTGAATCTAAATTCTTTAGATCTGAAAAAGCTGGAATGGTTAAGTTTCTTCTCTCACCTTTTACACCTTTTACCTTACTACTTCGAAAGGAGTAACCTCATGGTTTACACTGCTATAAATGAGGTGAAGCACCACTTTTTTTCCTTAAAAAAAAAAACCCCAAGAAACAAGCCTCCCAACCCCCCCTTGTTTGCTGCAAGTAACATTTTAAATTAAAAAAAAACAACAACAAACAAAACAAAACAAATCCTTTGGTGTTTCCTGACTCTTTTGGTGTAGTTTCTTTTCTTTACTTTAAAAAAAAAAAAAAAACAAAACAAAAAAACCAAACAGTAATTGTGATTGGCAATAATTTTAGAATTTATTTTTAAGCCAACAAGAAAAGGAGGAAATTAAACTAAGCAGGGACTAATTTAGAACAGCTAGTAATCTGTGAGCCCTGGCATTAGCATGCAGATTCCTGCTTGACTTGGAGTCTCTGTGAGTTCTTCTCTAACTATTCTCCTGTCTCTGTTTGTTCCATGCTAAGCAGATGGCCCAGAAATTAGCCAAAAGCAGGAAGAAGGTGCAGTACAAACTCCATCAGCTTGATGTTATGCCTGTTCTTTTGTTTTCTGTGAGGGTTTTTTGCCTTTCTTTTTATTTTTTCTTTTTATTTTCTGCATCCAGCAAGTTTTTTTTAGATTTATTTCTGAGCCACCATACAAGTTGACATTTCTCAGAAATCAGTTCCCTGATTGGCCATTTTTTGTTGCTTATCATTAGCCATTTCATGTTAGAAATAGAGTAAAGATTGGATTTATCAAATGGTTACAGGCAGTACCCAAAATGCAAACTAAAGAAACAGGACTGACGTGGCAAAGGTTTTAAGTCTGTAAAATGGTAGATTAAAATTAAGTTTGTGGGGGTTTTTTTTTAATTTTATCTTTCTATAAAAGTGCTTTGATTCATAGATACGTCAAATTGCTGGATGCAAAAAAGAAAAAAGTTTATATATGTACACACAATAATATGCTGAGATTGACTCATCTTAGTAATAAGTTTTGTTTGTGGAATTTTTAAGTATCTTTTAACAAGTCTAATTTTTAAAAAAATTTCAAGTGTTTGCTTTCTGTTAACAAACTGTGACTTCTAAACTGGGTTAATGCTTGAATGGTATGTTGTCTGACTGTGAAGGACTTCTTACCAGAACTGCATTATGGATTGCTTAAACTGTACCTACCTGTGGTACAGATTTTTCCATTCATCTTGGCAGTCACTGTTGGCCCATATAGACGTTCCTCAGGCAAGAAATGCTGTTAGGCCTTTCTATGGCTTGTGTGAAAAACCTTCTTTAAATTTGGATTCATAGTGTGGAGAAAATGGGAGAATCATTTTGATTTTCATGAAATCTTTATGTTGTTCATGTTGCAGTCAGGTATGATTTTACTGAATCAGTAAAAATAGCAGGGAAGCTTTTATGGGGTTAACAATTTTTCAAAGAATAGCCAGTTCACTTTCATGTATATATATAATATATAGTTTCCATATCTTTGTGTTTAGCTTCTGCAGTCTAATACTCTATCTTGCATTGCTGTTCTGGTGACTGTGTCTTAGCGTGCCCCTGTTTATGAGCTAACATAATCAGTAACTATGTTACCTAATGTGTTCATTTAACTCTTACTTCATTTATTTGCAGGCTCCAGAAGGTGAATCTCAACCCATGACTGAAGTGGACCTCTTCATTTCTACACAGAGAATAAAAGTACTGAATGCAGACACACAGGTATAGACAGACGCCTTTGTCAGTATTGTGGGAGTAGGCTACTGAAACAGGCTTCCACCTACCTGACAAAATTTGTTCTTCAAGAAGTGCTAGCTCTTGTATTTCCCTCCAGGACTTCCTAGTAAGAAATCCATGCTCAAAAGCTGTGTCATACATGCAATTACTCTGGTGTATCAGACTGTAGAAATTACTAGAATTTGTAAGTAAGCTAATTGCAGTCAGCTCATTTCTTATGATCAATGATGCATCAAGAATTGATTGTGCCCAGAGTAGCCTAAAATGTTTGGCAGTGGTGATTTCAAGTTCATAGTCCTTTGTACTTACATGCCCAGCGTTATTCAGGTTCTGATATTGAGGTCTTTATGTGCTTTTTCACTGAAACACAACTGTAGTTTGTAAAACCTGCTCTTTGCTTTACTTTTGGAAAGTGAAGCTCTTTTTTTTTTATTGGCTTGTCCTTTCATGCATGACAGATATTACAGACTTCACTTAACAAAGGTCTTATATTGCTAATTGTTTTCATAAAACTAGATGTCCAATAAGAACTTAATTAAAATAGCTATTCATGTTGGTTTTTGTATTCCCCAGGAAACCATGATGGATCATCCACTGCGGACCATTTCTTACATTGCAGATATAGGAAATATAGTTGTTTTGATGGCTCGTAGGCGAATGCCACGGTCTAACTCCCAGGATAATGTGGAAGCATCTCACCCTTCCCAAGATGGAAAGAGGCAGTACAAAATGATTTGCCATGTCTTTGAATCTGAGGATGTAAGGAATTACTCTCTCTTGTAATTTTCTAGGGGTGGAAATGTAATCACCTTTTGATAGGCTTGAAATCCATTCCAAGTGGTCCTGCTTGTTCATTAACTGCAGCCAAATATTTCCTCTAAGCAGAGGAACTTGTCTTCTCTTTGCATGTTTGGACCTGACATTTTATTCACAAAATTGATGCTTGTAGAAATACAAGATTTTTAAGCTTCTTCACTGCCTTCCAGTAACAATGGAAGGAGGGTCCAATTGCCACAGCTTATAAATACCAACTCTGATTCTGCATGTGAGAGTGAAAGTCTATCAGAGATGCTTATTTTCCTAGGGAAATTCTAATCCCAAGTAATGCATCAAGGGTCATTGATACTTACTAGAAAGGGTGATATTCTTTTTTTGTGTGTGTGTGTGAGACGGAGGAGAGTTTTGTGAGGGAGTAGTTGCTGACATCATATCAAAAAGTGAGCAAAGAAAATTGGTAATTCCTGCAGTCCCAAAGTATGCTGAATAGAGACACAGCTAAGTAAATTCTTGTCTCTGGTGCAGGTTACTAAGTTACTTTGTATAGGACCCGGTGTCCTGTCTTCACAAGCAATGTGTATTACTTGCTGATTTTATGCACTTTTTAAAGCTCAGTAACTGAAAGGTAGATCAAACACACCAAACTGAAGTGGCTAGATAAGTAGTTGTCAAGATCATAATCAAGTTAGCCTTAATAGTGTGGGAAAATAAAATATCTCAGTTCTAAGTCCTCCAAATAGCAGAGTATTAAGAGAAGTAAGGTGAAAATATCAATTTATTGTAAAATCCTCATATATCTTCCACTCTACAGTGTACCAGCAAGGACTTTGAGATGGAAAGGTTTTCTTGAATAAGCAACTGATTCTATGTAATGATGAATCTGTTCTAAACCCATGTTTGGATATATTATTTGGTTGCAGAATAAAGTATATATACAACCCACTGCTCAGATTAAAAAGTAAGGACAAGAGCACTGACAGAAGCAATCCTCTATGAAAATTTTGACAGGCAGTGTAAAAAATTGTGAATTTTTTTCCCTAAAATAATATGTAAGCCAGTTTTGCAAAGCCTTTCAAGAAACTGATATGAAAATAAAAAGAGTAGCCAATTTTTTTTTTGCTTAGTGTGACTTGATATGCTGCCCACTTTGAGGCTGCTGTTCCTGTGTTTCTAGTCACAAGTTTGGACGCTGCTAGCTCTCTTACTGGCCATCTGAAAAAGCAAAAAATCAATTAACTGTCAGATGCCAGAGGATGGGGCTCATTTTCCTTCAGTGTGTGGTGGTTCGACTATCATCCAAACTTCCTGGGTCTGTTTCCCAGGCTACTGCTAATACTTTGGCTAGGTGGAATCCACGCGTCCTTTTAGGGATCACTGACGTTACTTCCTGTGGTTTATTTGGATCAGCCCAAATTTGTGTCAGATATGATCCTCCCTATGTCACTAGATATTGGCCTGGAGAGTGCATGCCTGTAGATCCAGTACAAGCATTGCTCAGTGATGTGAAAATATCCTGAGAAATTGTGGGAGATTGTACCAGCTCTCTTTAGTCATGGTATAGTTCAAATAGCTTGCAGAATTTATCTCAGATACCAGAATGACTAAGAAAGAGTTAGAATGGAAACATTGTAGCACCTGTTAGCAGCAAGGAGATGGCAGCTTCAAAGATTTTGTACATCCAGTGGAGTAGTACATGTTTATATTATAAAACTCATGTATGTTTCACTGTCACCTTTTCTTCTCTTGGGACAGCTGGGTATTTAACAGAATTTACCCAGTAAATGACAGAGGAGTTGTAAGCCCTAAAGGGAGTGTTGGCCAGAATGTCTCTGCTTGGAAGAGTCCTTATCTAAGGAGGACAGCACCAAATTTCCAACTGTGTTTAGGGCTGGATCTTCAAATGAGCTGAACCCTAGTGATAGGTCTAAATGCTGGGTGTCTGCATGAGACTTGATCTCTTCTGGGAGGAAAGATACATGTGTATGAATGTAAAATCTGCTTTTATCTCCTCACCTCGGTTACTGGGCTATGGAGATGTAGTTTTCCTATTTTCTTGCTATCCTGTTCTTGCTGTCAAAACTAGGTTGATCTGAGCATTAGTAAAATACTGCCAGTCTAGATGTTGGCCTTGTCAGCACCAGCAATCATCCTGTTCTCATCAGCAGGTTTATTGCTAGTTGCTTTAAGATACGATCAGCTTTTTGTTTCAGGGTTGGGAATCTTTCTGTTATTAGGGACCAAACTGGGCTTTCGATACAGCTGGCAGGCTGTATAAAAATACACCTCAGCAGTATTTATCACCAGCACTGCCCCAAGCCTACCTTGTCAGCTATGGAGTTCTCCTCTTCTCTTCCCTCTCTTCACCACAGCCAGCACTGTTCTCCAGGGGACTGATTGAGCACACGTTGTGGCCAGCTGCTGTGCCCTACACAGTGTCGCTTACTGCACGTATCGCTCCAGTTACACAAAGCAGCACTCTGCACCATGCTGTGCTGCTTTCCTCTCCTGTCCATTACCTGTCTTCTACTAACCACGGTCACTGCCTCAAAGGGAGGCATTCCTCTGATTGCTGTTTCCAGCTGCATCCCCCACCTTGCATGACACAGAGCTTTCCCCATGTCTGCCTTGTGCTCAGTTTCTCCCCCACTGCTGCAGATACAGAACAGCTCACAGTGGGCGCAATGCAGTGTCCTGAGCCTTAGGCCATGTTTGGTGGCCTTAGGTGCAGAGAAGGCTACAGGAAACTGCAGGTGCAAGAGAGTGGACACGAAGGACAGGCTGAGAAGGAAAGGTGCAGGGAACTGGCAGAGTCATGGGAGTAGGAGGGAGGGAGACAAGAAATGTAGGGGAGAGAGGTTGAAGGAGGTAGCAGGGTGGAGGAGGAGATGTGTATGACCATTTTTAGTGACTTCAAGACTTGGATACAGTCACTAGTTGCTGCCCTTTTCCTCTTTCATCTGAGACTGAGGTAGGAGCAGCCAATAAGGATGTGATGGTGTTAAAGGAAGGTAGGAAAAATGTGGTTGTGTGTTTTCTAGTAGACATTTTCATTTTCACTGATGGCTTGTCAGAGAATGGCATTGCTTCTTCTAGAAGGGAGAGCCATCTAGGAGCTTCATGTGTGGGAGGAATTGAAGGTGCAGGCTATAGTCACTACAGCAGTTATATAAAATTTACCTTTATATTAGCAGTTCTTACCTGTGCAAGGATGGCTTCATTTATATTTCTCATTTATAATTGCTTACCAAGCTGGATTCATGGCACAGGTGAACATGCTGATATTTTGTGGCTCTTTAAAATTATTTTTTAATGCACAAATAGTTTTTAAACTGGATTGCAGTAACTTGACTTGTAGTTTCATCAACTTGATGATCCATTTTACAGTGTGATTGTAACAGAGAAAGTATCAGTGGACAAGACCATCAGAATGTTTCACTTTTTTCTTTTGTCTTCCCTGGGAACTGCTACAGGCACAGCTGATTGCACAGTCCATAGGTCAAGCATTTAGTGTGGCCTACCAGGAATTTCTGAGGGCAAACGGAATCAACCCAGAAGACCTTAGCCAGAAGGAGTATAGTGACTTGCTCAATACCCAGGACATGTACAACGATGACCTGATTCACTTCTCCAAATCTGAAAACTGCAAAGATGTATGTATCTTTTTTTTTCTTTTCCGTAACAGCATTAAGCTGCTCTGTACCAGTTGCAGGCCCATGCTAGCAGAAATCATAAAACCATTAATACTTCCTATAAATTATCTCAGTGAGTCTAGAGTATCCTCCCAAGTAGGACACCCTATCATCAATTCTGTTTCAAAGGCAAAAATTTTCAAAATCTTTCAAAATTTTCAAAAATTTTTCAGCAGTGATTTACCATCTTGTTCTTCTTACCAAACAGTTTTCAGACATGTTTGCCATTGTATGTTAGTGAAATGAATTTAAGACAGATTAACAGAGTAATACAGTTCAACAGATTACAGTAAGCAGTACAAAATGTGTAGAGGCACAGGAGTTTGTGAAAGTGACTGATTCCAGATTTTAAAGGATTGTATTTGCTGAAAGGATTTGCAGCTTGGTTAGTAAAGCTCAGTGCAGCACTGCAACACACGGGTAGTGATTTTCCAATCCACAGTCATAAAATCTTGCAATCTGTTCCTGTTTAGCTTTGTCCACCAAAGCCCATGGCACCAGGGTTTCTTCCACTCCAGTGTCCTCTGCTCAGATGCAGAAATAAGTTGAGAGATGTTTCACACTAAGCAAAATCTATATTGTGTACTGTTGATTATTTCATGTTTGAATACAAATGAAATCTAGTAAAATGTGTACACTATTTTGTTTTACCTCTGAACTAGAAACACAAGTTGCAAGTAAGGTGGGGTATGTGTTGGTTTGCTGTATGAATTTTTGGGAGGGGAGGTGTTAATCAGTTCTGTAGGTGTGAAGAAGCTTTTTTTTAAAACACTTTTTCTCATGTTACAGGTTTACATTGAAAAGCAAAAGGGAGAAATCCTAGGTGTAGTGATTGTGGAGTCTGGCTGGGGATCCATTTTGCCTACAGTTATCATAGCCAACATGATGCATGGAGGACCAGCAGAGAAGTCTGGGAAGCTGAACATAGGGGACCAGATCATGTCAATCAATGGGACCAGTTTGGTTGGTTTACCACTCTCAACGTGTCAGAGCATTATAAAGGTATGGAAAATGTTTCTGGAAGTTACATGTTTTAAAAGGGTTACATAATAGGAGAGCAGGAAGTATGTCACTCTTAAGTAAGTTCTTAAACAAATGTTTTTATAGCACTTTCCATTTCATGATCTTTAAACTACAGTGGAAATTATGCTACAGAAATTTTCTGACTCCCAGAAACTGAGCTGTGCCATACAGCTGGTATAGACAAAGACTCTGCAGAACTTCACTCCACAAAAGAATATTTTGTTTAGAAGAAAGGTGCTACCAGATATTCAGCTGAAGACACTTAAAATTTTATTTGACAAATGGAGGCACAGGTGCCTAATATTGTACTAGGCCATATTAGCTGTTTAAATGCCTGTAGTATCTGACTGAAATAGAGCTGGTGCTTTGTTGTTGTTTCTAACTATTTTTACAAATTTTAAACTTTGAATTAAAGACGTACATCCTCTGTAGAAACTTTCCCTCAGTTATTTGAAAGTGTGATGCTTCTCTTCGCTTGGCTAAATGGGATATTTTATTTAGAGCTTTCTCCTATTTGTCAGAAAAGTATGTGACTGCAAAAAACATGCAGGTCAGCTGAAACTGAACAGTATAGAATCATAGAATCATAGAATGGTTTGGGTTGGAAGGGACCTTAAAGATCATCTAGTTCCAACCCCCCTGCCATGAGCAGGGACACCTTACACTAGATCAGGTTACTCAAAGCCTCATCCACCCTGGTCTTAAACACTTCCAGGGAGGGGGCATCTACAACCTCTTTGGGCAACCTGTTCCAGTGTCTCACCACCCTCACACTAAAGAACTTCTTCCTAATATCTAATCTAAACCTACCCTCTTTCAGTTTAAAGCCATTATCTGGGGTAGCTGTAGCATACAAGGGAATAAGTATTTGAACATCAGAGTTTCAAGAGCTCAAAAGGTTGAATGTTGGAGGTGAAGCTATATGGACTTTGTTATTTGTCAAAATAGCCCCACAGAGCTCCTGCAGATCATAACGTGTAGGCACATAATGTAAGGCTGGTGGTCTACTGTACAGAAATCCTTCTCTGATATCTTAGGAATATGCCTGTTAAACTTATTTAGGCAACTTTCTGTTAACAACTTGTATTATGTAATATGGGTTTTTCTGCATTTTGTACTTTTTAAAATTGCAAAGTAAATTTGGCATTTACAAAGTAGATTTACAAAGTAAATTTTTAATTTTTGTCCATGGATTAGTTTATAGCAAACATCGTAGTTCAGGCATTAGGAAAGACTTGCCATTCTGCTTTCCAAAAATGTTGGTGCTGAGTTCTGATGAGTAATAGATGCGTAAGTCACTGAACCAGCCATTTTAGATTCAGGGAGTAGAAACAGTAGCCTGGAAGTGTAGCATACTAAAAAATGTAGCAAAATCAGTCTTACATTTGTGAAGGAAGAGAAAAAGAACCCATATTGCATTTCTTTGTGCGAGCTTCAGTGGAACAAAACTCCTTGCAAATTTAGGCTCTCATGTTGGCCATACAGGTTTATTTCTAAACCTGTGATGAGTTACACTTCTCTGATTCAGAGGCTTTTCAGGTGGAGTTTTGTTGTGCTCATCTGTGCCTTCACAAAACAGAAACAGCCCGCTTCGCTGTTTCCAGCTTCCGCAGACCTTTCTCTTCCTCAGTGATACTGATGTTGCCATAGGAACTGCTAGCCATTTATTTTGTCTTTCTAAAGAGAAGATAGTCAGTATGTTTGCAGGTCCTCATAACCATATATCTGGAGCTATAGCGCTTCTGGTAACAAGTATATATACCACTGAATGATCTAAGCACACATTTAAATGTGGCAGAAATATGTTGGAATTTCAGATTTCTTTATCATGCTGTAAGGACTCCTATGAAAAGATGAGACTATTATGTAGATAAGAACATCTTGCAGATAAGAAAATTTCAGCATTATGGATGTAATCTCTGCTCCTAATTGACCATAAACGAATTGCAAACTGACAGAGCTCAGAAGAAGCTTTCCATATGTGGTAGTTATGCCCTAATTGTATTTTGCTGCTCTATCTTTTTCAGAGGTATCTGGTGTTGGCTACTATCAGAAGGAGACTCAGGGACTAGACAAGCAAATAAATTGGTCAGATTGTGCAATTGTTTCTGATCAGCATATCTGGAAATTAGCCACTTTTGAAGTATATGTGCTTTCTGTAAAGTTAGAAAATTATTTTTTGTGGACCATAGTACTCTTTTTTTTTTTCAAGGAATACATAAAATAATTTGCACATTCATCAGGGAGGTAAGACTGCAATGATGCCAACTCTGTAGAGGGCATGTAACCTAAGTGAATTCAGATGACTGAAGTTAGACAGCAAAATTCCTCATAGAATGGGCATCTCCAGTGCTCTGCATGATTCCTGCCCTCCTGGATTTAGACGGCTGAGGCAGAAGCCCCTCAACTTCTGAATAAACATCATACCCACAGCTTAAGACAGGTTAATTAGTCCCTGCCGTCTACTACGTGTTTTGTTGTGAAGAGGTGCACGTAGAAGATGAACGGCCCCTGAGCACGTGTGCGTGCTGCTAACTCCTCACTGGAGCGCAGGAGTCCACAGTCATGGAAGAGATGGCATTCAGACCTTCTTTCTGCCGAGAGATGAGCAGAGGCAGTTCCCACAGCCACATGCTTGGTCCTCTTGTGTTCACACGCCCATTCTTTTGGATCCACTTTCAGTAATGAGCCAAGCTGAGCTCAGCACTGGGTGGAAGTGAGGGCAGCTGTTTCCCATGTGATGATTGCATCCAGTTTAAGGCACAGACAAGAAAACACTCTTAAAGCAGTTAACTCAGGCAGGATGCCATTCTAGCTATTGAAGTCACTGCTGAATCTGGAGTTTAGCTTAGCAGCAGTAATCAGCAGCAGTAAACTGCGTGTAGAGATTTCAGTGTATTACCTTAGCTATAATAGGAATTACTTTTCAGAATTAACCCTTTGAAGTCAGCGTTAGACACCTGTTAGTTGCAGTGGAACAGGTTTCAATTGTACATATAAAAAGAATTCAGAAGTAGGTACTGGAATTGGTAGGTGTTGTATTAAGTAAGGTGGAAGTTGCTGTATTCTTTATAAAGCATTTCTTCCTTGATGTGGATTTTATTTATGTATTTATTTATGGATAATCATTTGTGTGAATGAAGCATTTCAGAAAAATATCTTAACAATCTCTGAGACCTCTGAATACTTGAAGTTGTACAAAGGGACAGATTACAGTTACCTGCTTTTTTACATTTGAGTTTTCATGGAGCCATACAATCACAGAGTTTCTGAGGCTGGCAGTCACCAGTGAAGCTGGTCTGGACTAGTACTGTGGTACAAGGTAGAGCAGGTTGCTTAGGCCTTTGCCCACTGGAGTTTAAATAACTCCAAGGCTGGATACGCCACAGGCTCTCTGGGTAATCTGTTCCAATGTTTTACCACTCTGACAGTGAAAATAAATTTTCCTCCTTCAGTTTATTTCTGGTAGGAAAGAGTTTATGATGAATGTGATATAACTCGTTTAGAAGGAGGAGGAACAGAAATTAGGAGCACTGCTTACCCATGCATGATATGAGCAGGACCTGTCATTTGCTTGACAGAATTGAATATATCCTATTAGGGAAGCCACTTATTTGTAACTATCTTAGCTACTTATTTAAAATTTTATTTCCCATTTCCAGTCATTGGCTTTTTTTTTGTTAGCTGCGTAGACCTGTTTAATATTTTTTTTTATACATTATTTGCATTATCAAATGAAGAAAATGCCAACAAGAAGCTTTGTTTCATAAGACAACTGTGTCAGCTTCTTGGCAAGAAAAAATTTATATTTTATCACTCATTTCACTAAATATTCTGATGCTTGTGTCTGGCATTCAGTGATCAGATTCTGTTACAATGCATTCAAAGAGCTGTTTATTCAGGGCTATTCCCACATCACGATTTTAACGCTTTCCCTGCTGCCCACCCCCCTTCCCGTAGTGCTTATTTGTAAATGCTTCACTCTGTCTTTGCCAGCATTTTTCATGCTGATTTCTTTTCACAGGGTTTGAAAAACCAGGCCCGGGTTAAACTGAACATAGTTAGGTGTCCTCCAGTAACCACAGTCTTGATCAGGAGACCAGACCTCAGATATCAGTTGGGCTTCAGTGTGCAGAATGGGATTGTAAGTAGCTTCCACACTTTCTGGTTAAGCTTTAATATACATGAAACTCCTTCTCCATTTGTGGGTAAGTTTAGGTGTGCGAAGAGGGAAGCTGCTGTTTTCTCCCTTACAGCAAGAAGAGTTGTTTTGTTTTTCTTTGACTCTGCTTACTTCACAGCTTTAGAGTCAGCCAGAAGAAAAGCTGATTTACATTAGATAAACAAAAATGCATAGCACAGGCTGTTTTCAATATGGGTCATTCATGTCTCTGCTCAGGCCATTTGTGGTGGTTTTCACTTGGCTAGCAGCAAAACACAGCCGCCCCCGCCAGACCTTGAACCTGCAGACTAGCAAAACACAAAGTCCTTCAACTTCCCATGACAACTGAAAACATTAATGTGTTATCAGTGTTCTTATAACAAATCCCAGGCTGAAATCAAAACACAGTGCTTTTCTGGCTACTAAAAAGAAACTCAGCTCTGTTCCAGCTGAAAATCAGGACACTATTGCGTGATCTCAGCAGAAAAAGACTGTCCTTGATCCTCTTTTGTTTTAAGGCATCTGCATCCTAAACATTGTTAAACTGTGGCCTTTCGTACACTCTTAAATTTCCAAGCCACAGCACATGTGGTGTAGAACACAAACAGCCTTTTCTGACAGTTTGTTCTGCTCTTAGAAGAGAATAACCAGTAGTTATTTGTCACTAACAAATTTCACTTAGAATCAGTGATTGATTAAATTTTAGAATTTGTTGCAAGCCTCTGTTTAAATTCTGATTTAGAGTTTACAGGCAAAAATTGATAATCTAAAACCTCTCTTCCTTATCCAGACCCCAATAAATTTGTCCTTTCCCTTCCAGATCTGTAGCCTTATGAGAGGAGGCATAGCAGAGCGAGGAGGTGTGCGTGTCGGCCATCGGATCATTGAAATCAATGGACAGAGTGTCGTAGCAACACCACATGAGAAGATTGTTCACATTCTCTCAAATGCTGTTGGTGAGGTAAGAGCAGGCAATGTGTCTTGGCAATATAACATAGTTCATCACTGTTACCAGTAACAACCAGTGGAAACCAGTAACAGGTGGTGTCCCTCAAGGGACGATACTGGGACCAATACTTTTTAGTATCTTCATCAATGACATAGACAGTGGGATTGAGTGTACTTTCAGCAAGCTTGCGGGTGAAACCAAGCTCAGTGGTGCAGTTGATAAGCTTGAGGAAAGGGATATGGCATTAGAGGGACCTTGACAGGCTTGAAAAGAGGGCCATGTCAACTTCATGAAGTTCAGAAAGGCCAAGTGCAAGGTCCTGCACCTGGGTCACGGCAACCCCCAACATCAATACAGACTGGGGGATGAAGGGATTTAGAGCAGCCCCATGGAGAAGGACTTGGGGGTACTGGTGGATGAAAAGCAGGACTTGGTTGGCAATGTGAGCTTGCAGCCCAGAAAGGCAACTGTATCCTGGGCTGCATCAAGAGAAGTGTGGCCAGCAGGTCGAGGGAGGTGATTCTGCCTCTCTACTTCGCTCTGGTGAGACCCAACCTAGAGTACTGTGTCCAGTTCTGGAGTCCTCAGCACAGGAAAGACATGGACCTGTTGGGGTCCAGAGGAGGGCCACAAAAATGATCAGAGGGATGGAACACCTCTCCTATGAAGAAAGGCTGAAAGAGTTGGGACTGTTCAGCCTGGAAAAGAGAAGGCTCCAAGGAGACGTTACTGCAACGTTTTAATATGTAAAGGAGGCTTCTAAGAACGAAGAGAGAGACTTTTTAGCAGGGCCTGTAGCAACAGGATAAGGGGCAACAGTTTTAAACTAAAAGAGGGTAGATTTAGGCTAGATAGAAGGAAGACATTTTTTACAATGAGAGTGGTGAGATACTGGAACAGGTTGCCCAGAGAGGTTGTGGATGCTCCATCCCTGGAAGTGCTCAAATTCAGCTTGGACAGGGCTTTGAGCAACCTGATCTAGTTGCAGATGTCCCTGCTCACTGCAGGGTGGCTTTGAACTAGATGATCTTCCAAGATCCCTCCCAACTCAAACTGTTCCATGATTCTGTGATTCTACCCCTATTAGCCTATTGCTATTCAAATCTAAATAGTGGAAGTGAGAGCAAGCCAGCACACCATTTCTTTCATTACTTACTCGTAGTTCTCCTATGTAATCTGAAAATATGATGTCCATAACTTTAGATGGTTCATTAATATGAAACATACTGTTTCATAAAATCACCACCTGCAATACTTTATTAAGGGTATGAAAACTTTCTCAGGTTTTAACTTTTCCTTCTGTCCTGTATGAGCTTAGCTAGTTCTTCAGCAATGCTCTGTTGTAGCATGCATGTTAGAAATGTTGATTAACTTGTCATATTTCCTCTAGATTCATATGAAGACTATGCCCGCTGCCATGTACAGACTGTTGACTGCGCAAGAGCAACCAGTTTACATCTAAAGCCGACACCTCACCGTCACAATGTGCATGGAGGAAGTTTTTCCTCATTAGTGCTTGTCTCTCTAGTGCTGCATTTCTATGTCTGCAGAGACTTTTCTTTTTCTCTCCTTCACAAACACAAATACACTATTTCTCTCTCCTCCCTCCCTTTTTCCTCTTCTCTCCACCATTTTCCTGTGTTTTGGGAAGGGGCAAAATATATCTATGAGACTATTTTGGTTGCATCCTTTATAAGTGAAATTTCATGCAGTTCCACGTGCAAAACTGGAAAATAACAGCAGCGTTGTTCACAGCAGGATTCACAGAGAAGCTTGACTCTGCTTCATGCTACATAATCAGTTTTATTTTTGTGGCTGTAATTTGACAAACTGACTAAATGTTGCTGAATTAAAGTTGTCTTTACCAAACAGTGAAAGTAGAGCGTGCAAAGTGTTCTCTTGGATATCCTGCACGTGACTTTGCTTTTCATGCCTGATTTTCCCACAGGCACTGAGCTCAGTATTAAAGGTTTATGTCTGTAGGGAAAATACCAAAATGATAGTTTTGCCCTCAGGAAGAATTACTGGCTTGTGAAGACTCAGTAAATGCTGCTGTTGTCAAAGGAACTGTCCAAATACACACCTTGTAATTCCCCTGGGTCATCGGTTCTTCATGACAGTAGGAAGGTGCCGAGTTGCTGAAACACGTTACACTTACATTATTTACCCTAAGCAATTTGGGAGGCATTTTTACAGCTCCCCCCACCTCTCTGCCCCCAGGTTTTCTTAATTTCCTTCTACTTTTTTTTTTTAATGCAACATGTCTTTTGTAGTCCCTTGCCTATTTTATAGGTTAAAGGGAGAGAGGAGGATCTTTAAATATCTACAAGAGAAATAGTGAGGAGCTTTCCTGAATAGCTACACTTTTTCTAGGCTCTTAATTCCAAGTTTGCTGCACACAGCCATGTGTGCCAGTGTATATAGACATTTTTAAAATTCTGCTTGCTATTTATGAAGTTTGAATATAAGATCTGCAGACTATTCTAAGTAATTTTGTTCTCTGAGCCAGTTTTAACATATATTTTTGTCCAAAGACTTGTCTAATTTTATTGACTTTCTCTTTAGTTCATGATATAGTTAACAGTGGAAGGGTTGAGGTGAGAATAAACTTATTTATTTTGTTATATAATTTAACTTGTGATTTTTTTTTTCATATGTATGACACTTAAAGGGGATATATGTGTACTATATGCACTTATATAAATATTATAAACTGTAGGGATATATGAAATCTAGGGTTTGATTTGCCTCTAACTTGCATGCTAGAGACAAAAGGGGAAAAAGGGGTTGGGATGGGGTTTTTTTGAGACCATGCATTTAGTCCAGGCTAGTATGTTTATATCTTTTAAAGAAACAGTTTCTGCTGTGTTTTACTGTGATAGAAAGGCTCAGTGAGTTGAAAACAAGAGCAGGCCACACACAACCTCACACCACTTCCACTTTGCAAATTGCTGTTGGTGACAGTCACGTGTTTCTCAGTTATTGTGGGGTGGGCTGTGCAATGTAAGCGTTGTTTGCAGTCCAGTAATGATACCTAGACATCACTACAGAGATCCATGGAAGTGGGTGTGTGTGGGTGTGTGTACCTGCATATGCACACTCGGTGTGAGCACTGCTGATAGCCATTGAGCCCTTTTGCCAGAGGTGCATTTTTGGCTTTCAGAAATCACTGATACCTATGGGCTGATCAGAGGTAGAGAATAAACTTTGTATTTCAGTGGACAGTACATATTTAAAGGGGATAATGAAGTGGTGCATAAACTATTGTAGCACGTGAATATGTTTTAGTGTTGAGATTAATGTACGATGACTTGATTTTACTGCAGTTCTTGTTATATAATTTAATCCCAATCTCCAGAATAGCAGATTGCACAAGAGAGCAGTGTTAGTATTCCAGGTTAGTACTTACCTCTGTTACCTGACTGATGCAACTATGTAGTGAATGAATTGTGAGTGTATTGTTTAACTGTAGACATCTGATTTATGATAATTTGAACTTTTTCCAGAACTTTCCATATATATAGTAATATATGTAAATATGATATATAACCATGTACAATTTAGAAGATTATAAACAGTGCAGCCTTTCCATAAGTTGCCTGAGGAAACTCAGTAAACTCTTGAAGACACAGTTATCATGTTTCTGGTTCCTGCTATGTTTACACCCTCAGCTTCACTTGTTTCTGTGGTTTTGTCCACCTCATGTGGTGGGGTCTTTAAGTCACTTCACTGGGAAATGATGAAGACCTGAATGTGCAAATGTATTTCATGATGAAATAATTGTTTCTTTGAAAATCTTCCAGCCAAGATTCTATGAAGTTACTGCATTTGAGTGCTTGAACAGTTCATGGTAAATAGGTGCTTAACTTTAAGCAAGTGAATGCTTGCAGGATCAGAGTCTAGCAAAAAAAGCTCAGTTTTTCCAATTACAGTGTGTGCGTAAGATTTCTAATCTGGGAGGACCACAGTGCGTGCACACCTCTGATAACAGTCTTGTCAGCAATCCCATTTTACTTTGTAAAGGGAA